CTTGGTGGGGCCACATCTCGGCAGCCCAGCCCCGCTGAAGAAGAGTGATGGGTGTCCTTGCCCCACCAGCCGTCCCCACGGCCCACGGAGGAGCTACTGTGGGTCTGCTTGGCGAGGCTTGATGTCGCGGGTCTTCATGTAGGAGAGCAGCTGCTCGGGGATCTCGGCCAGCACGTCCTTGGCCAGGCGGGCCATGCTCAGCACCTGGTTTCCTGAGTCATCCACATAATCCCGAAACGGCACAAACTTTCAAGAGGAAAGAAATTTGCAGCCTGGTTGGAAACAACCCTGCGGCTGCGGGGGTGGGCGAGGGGATAAGCATCTCTCGCCCGTGGTAGGACCAGGTTCAATGCTGGTGTTACCTGCACGATGTCCCTCTCGGCGTAGCGTCCCCGGGAGGACAACCGCACCTCATCACCGTCTAGCTCCTCCATGGCTGCAGGGTGACAGCCGGTGTCACCAAGCCTCGGTGGGCTGGCCACTGGGGATGGTGTTTCTGTCCCCCTTCCCTAGTGTCCCCAAGCCCCAACTCACCCTCAAACTCAGCTGGACCCACTCCCACGATGATGATGGACATGGGCAAGGCGGAAGCCTGTAGAGCAGAAGCAGGGTGGCAGCCAGGACAGCACCCGGCATGGGGTGAACTCACAGCAATGGGGGTGCACTCACGGTGACGATGGCCTCCTTGGTCTGCAGCATGTCAGAGATGACGCCATCAGTGATGATGAGGAGGACATGGTACTGTGAGCCATCAGTCACTTGCGCGGCCGCTCTATGGGGACAAGGGACAGGGTCCTTCCAGCAGCCCCATCAGTGTGGGACAGCTGGTCTCACTGTGGGTCTGGTGGCATTTGGGAATAGCAAAGGGGACAGAGTCCTCTGGTGCTCACCCAGCCACCTGGTTGATGACGGGGGCAAAGTTGGTGGGACCGTAGAGCTGGACGGTGCGCAGGCTCTGGAGGTAGGACTCCAGCACACCCTCAATGCCGGCACAGCTGGGGTTGTCCGCATTGTTGTTCTGGGGGACAGGGATGGGCCCTTAGAAGGGGACCGTGGCTCCCAGCATCCCCCCTGAGCTGCAGGATGCTGAGGCAGTATGCAGCCATGGTGCTTCCCCTCCTCACCAAGCTGCTGTGGGCCCCCCACAGCCACCCCTGCCCCACAGCTAAGAGATTTGGGTCCACCCTCAGCCCTGCCCCATGGTGAGGTGTTCCCCCCACCCTGGGGCGCACCAGGGGGAACTGGTGGGAGATCTTGCCGTCGGGTGGGATTTTGGCGCCGAAGCCGTAGGCGGGGAAGAGCTTGTCGCTGTCGTAGTCCTGGATGATCTCCCCCACTGCCTTCAGTGCCAGGGCGTAGGCGCTCAGCTGGTAGGGGCTCGCGTAGTGCAGCGAGGTGGGCTGCGACGGCATCCCTGCGGCACAGCGCCCGTCAGCACATGCCCCGTGGCCAACCCCACAGCCGTGCCGC